TTGGTATGTCAGCAGACAAACATAGGCATTCACACCCAGCCCTTGAGCAACATTACAAATGAAATGCACAATCTTCAAAACATGAAAGTACATAAATACATGCATGAACCTTGTCTGCTGTTTAACAGACTATCAATACATGAAAAGGAAAGTTATACTGAAAAAAGGAATTCAAATCAGGCATGTTCAGTCTTCATTTGATTGATAATGAAGTACCATTTAATGCAGTTGAAGGGACTTCTGTGGTGCCGTTTGAGAACTTTTTGCATGATGTGCATTTTAATGCAGAAGCTTCTCATTATTCTTTGTAATCAAACCATGATTCCTCAAAGACCCTTCTCTAAATTCAAACCCACATTTCTCATCAATTTAGTGGTGTTTTGCCATCACTTTTGGCTTTCATCTCTTAGCAACTTCTCATATAACATGCTTAACATTTCCCTGCTTTTGCACCGCTACTTAACAAACCTTGAGGTGCCTCTTAGCACCTGAGTGTCGCAGCTTCGTTTCATAAAGTCACCATTTATTAAACCTCAAGGCTAGACAGCAGCAAAAGCCTATTGAGATATTGAGGTCATCTTGCAGGAAGAGGGAAAAAATATTGTCCTATAAGGAGGGAGGGCACAATCCAGAGTATTGGGTGACATGCTGTGTTTCAGCAGAGTTAAGATGGGCAGTGGCACGTGTCCTACTGGGGAACATTGCCAGCATACAGAATAAAATGTTTTGCTTTATTTGTTTGCAATCCAAGCAGGTTCACAATTAATGAATCCAACCTATTTGATTTCCCCCCCCCCCATACCTGATTGTGTCAGACACTCACAAATGCCAAGTTTGTATTTCCTCTTCAGCTAATGGCTCTCAGGATGTGTGTCTGTTCTTGTGTGCGTTTTTAATACAGGTGATGTTTGCGCTTTTGTGTGCACGTGATTCTTTTCTTTTGTGTGTGTGAGCCTGTGTGTGTCTATTGGTAGGCAGGATGAGCATCCCTTCTGTTACCGTTGCTGTCCCTTCATTTCACACTCCAGCAGCTCCGCGTGAATCCTCTTCCCTTGGCTCATTATCAGTGCTGTTCAATGAATGCGCATCCCACCAGAATGCAGGGCAAAACCGAATTATTATTCCAGTACGAGGGTCAGCGCAGACACTGGGACTCCTTTGTTTAGAATATTTCTGACTTCCTCCTTGGAAACATGTAAGCAGGACATAACATTGGTTGGTAGGAGGTCTTCAAGCACCAGAACTGATAATTGAGCTCTGACAGAGTGTCTAGTTTGGTTGTTTGACCCTCATTGCACTTTTTTCTAATTTTCCTTGGCAGGGTCCAGTGTGCACGGAGCAGAATTCGGACACCTGCCGGACAACATTACAGTTTTGGAAGGCGAAAGTGTCACTTTGAGGTAACTCTTGATCCTACACCTGCACCAACTGATTACATGAAAAACATGTTTGCCCTTCCAGCCACCTGTCATTCCGGCTTGATTGCCAATTCTTTGTCTCATAACTTCAATTAGGTGCCTATAATGTGCCATATTTTCCAGCTCTGTCTATCCTAACTAATAATAAAAACTGTCAATTATTGATGGAGTCACTTTTCATCTCAGGGGTGGACCTACCTGACTGTGACTGATAAAATCAACTTTTTCCTTACCTCCAGCCAAGCAAAAAAAAAAGACACCTTGCTTTTTCCCCCATTAGATGTGATTCTTCCAGGAAACACATTTAACTGTGCAAAAATAAGAAAAAACATAAATCCAATTTCACAGTGCTTTTAATCAGCTTTTAATGTGCATATTTGCAACTACTTTTCTTGTGGTCCACCTTGGTCCCTTGGAAGGAGAGTTAACGTCCTACAGAAAATAAATACATTTGTCAATTCTGAAGCAAGGTACAGTTCTGTCAATACTGCCATCAACATCTGGTCTCTCACAAAGTTGTAGATCAAAGAACCAGGATCTATATTCTCATCCAGGCGTGTAGTTTGAAGCTGTCTTATTGATGTTGTGTAATCAAATATATAGGCTTTACTCAGCTGTTTTAACATCTATAAGAACTAAACCTAGATCAGAAAATCTTTGCGCTGCATGTGACCTTTATGTCATTTTATAATTTAGCATCCTGAATATTGTATAGTTCTGTTACATTACGTGAATCATTCTTGTGTCTGGATGTAAACTGTCATCAGTCAGTTGGATTGTGAAGATTTAATGCGTAATCAGATGTGTATTCAAGTGCAGTCTGTGTGGGTCAGCACATAGCTGTCAAACAACTGACTGAAAAGCTTTAGAAAAAAACTCAATTTTCATGTAGAATCAGGTTTACCCAAGTGGCATAAATACTTTTGTTGTGTTTGAGACAATGCTGTTGTGTTAGCTTTGATGCGGCCCATTAAGAAGAGGCACATTTGATGTTATTATCGTGCTCATTTCCTCTGGGTTTGCCGTCCTGTAGCAACAACATCAGCACAGAAGTGATTAATTTTAAAAATAGATTATTAGAGCATGTTTGCAAAGATAATGAATTTCTATGGAGGGATTTCATCCCTATTACTGCACCCTGACTTAAACCTACCTTCCACAAACAGAGAAGTGATCTTAATCAATATGAAAGGCTTTGCTTGGCGCTCAGATGGTGTGTTGGTGTTAGGATTTGCTCAGTGCTTTGTACATATGCCTGTTTGCTGAGCACATATGTTCTAAGTTGAACAGTGGTTGCTATACATTATCATGTCACTCCCACTAACTTTGAAAAAGATCCACCTCAGATATATTCATCCAGGTCATATCAATTAAACATGAAGACATCAGAGGCTTGCAATCTTATAAGCTGAAGCTGGGTAAGGACATCTAGTGGGCAAGTGTAGAACTGAAGTAACACCTTTGCCAAATGGTTTTTCTTTGGTGACTTCCCACAACAACAAAAAAGAGGATTCATGTGCTACAGCACACCACAGCATTGTACAGTTTGAAGCTGAATGACTGTTCAGTTTATTGTTACCTCCTTAAATTCTGCTCAAGTTGCCAGTCTGGAAATACAGACTACTTGTCTACTTTTCATGCACATTGTGTCATCACAAGGTGTTAACTTCTCTGAAACTAATCTCAGCTGAATGATCTAGGGTTAGGGTTAGGGTTAGTGTTTAGTTAGCCAGTTTTACTTAACCTGTGTGACATAGATTAAACATTAAAGTTTTCTCTATTGTAACACATTACCCAAGAGTATACAGACAACTACACCGGAGGAAGAGCTACAAAATTTAAAGAAAGAAAGCTTAGATGCATATTGATATAATAATTATAGGTGAATGGTTTGCTAAAGTCTTTGCAGTTGCAGTGTTTCCTCAAAAATGAACAGGAGAGCACGCAGGCATTTTTATCTTAACACCAAAAGAGAGATTATTATTTAGGAGAACAGAAGTCTTTTCCTTTATTGAACTTAAATTTTTAACAAAACATCTTCAAATATGCAGCAAAGCTGATTAAAACACTCAATTGCTCACATTAGTCACACGTTTTCATATCTGATTTAATCTTTTACAAACTGGAAATAAAAAAAACATCTGTGGAAGTCATTTACTGAACATTTTAATGGAATATTGTGCCCCTGTTCTCAACAGTCAAAGTTCATCCACAGCAAAGAACAATAACTATAACAGTAAAGGTGATGATGAGCGCCAGCTGCCGAACAGTAATGTTCTGTAAGTGGTGCTGTCAAGCACACTCTGCACACTCCAGCTGTAGCCTGCAGTTTTATTTTATGACCTGCTACTGCTGTTCAGTGTGCAGATCAAGAAAAGGAAATCAGACAGGTGTGAGTCCAAGAAATCCTTCAAAGACAAGAGGAGCTGGAAATTCCATTCTGTCTGTCTCTGTGTTGTGAGTTCCAGTTTCTGTGGAGAGCAAATTTTATTCACTCACATTCTAGCAGTTGGTGGTATGTTGGAGACAATATGCAATGATTCTGCAGTTTTGTGCATTTTTTCAGCCTAACGTTATGTTATTTTGTTGTTTGCTCATCCATAGCTTGGAGCCAAGACTGAGTGATTTCATTGGAATGCTGTGTATGACTTTGCTTTTTACTATAGAGGATATAAATGATGATAATATGAGAACAAATACGGCCTAATAGCTGACTAAATCTCAGGAAAATGGAGGAGGTGATGGGATCTGACTGTTTTGATAAGCTGCCAATGTTTTTATTGTTCAGCACATTGCTCTTAAAGTGATTGCTACGATATTGTTGACCAGTATTTGCTGTTTTTAAAGTTATTGTATGGACTCCATTTGAATTCTCAACTATGTTTTTTTTATTTTCGTCACTATAATCATTTTTCTTTTTTAAATAGAGCAAACTTATAAAACTCTTGTGTCTCTTGTGACTCCTCTTTAAAGGTCATATTTGTGCGGATGCTGTGCAGAAGAGCAATGTACACTGTTATAATTTGTTAAATCTTTCTATAGGTTCTTTACAGTCAAACAGGAATTGATTGACATTTTTAATATTCCTGTAAGTCATTCTCTCAAAGTGTTCCTGTCTTCCAGACCTAGGTTTGACCTCCACAATGTCTGTTAATAACCATTTCTTAATTACTTGAAGTGAAACTGAAACATCAGTCATTTTCCGAGAGCCTACAAGCTTCCTTGAGAATCTTACTGGTACAAGGTTTTTTACAGGTCTTTGTAAAGCTTTAAAACTTGCTTTTTGTAATTATTGTTAACCAGCCATGTCTCAAAAAAGCTTTTTTTCAAACAGCAAACTGATCAAAGGTCCTTTAAGCCTAAATATATTCTTTAACATGATCAATCTGTTCTATTTTTTCCAGTCACAGTTTTTAATCAAAAAATGTTACTTCTTGAAGTATTGAAAAGAACCATTCATGAAATCAGTTTATCCCCAGTTCACAGGAACATTTGAAAAACCATCTGACTTTAGCACCTGCAGGGCTTTGCATTTTGTCTGCAGTGTTTCTGATAAGGACTTGTTAAGTCATAAAGCAAAGCATGCATCCTAATCACTCCCTCTTGTCTCACAGATGTCGGATCGACGAGGAGGTGACCCACAAAGCCTGGCTGAACCGCTCTAATATCCTTTTCACCGGGACAGATAAGTGGTCACTGGACAAGCGTGTAACGCTGGCCAATAGCAACAACAGCGATTTCTCCATCCACATCGACAAGGTGCAAGTAACAGACGAGGGACCCTACACATGTACCTTCCAAGCCAACAACAAGCCTCGCATCGCCAACGTCTACCTCATCGTCCAAGGTAAGCAGCTTAGCTGAGACGGCACAAAGTGGCTGTATGCTGTATTTAATAACGCAGGGTTGTTAGCATTACATGGCCAAACCCTGCATATATAAAGTAAACCAGCTAAGATTGAGTCTCACTTCGATTAAGTTGACCTTTAATCATTATTATATTTCAAAATCTGTTATTTTTTATGATGTCCCTTCACTTAAAGTTGTCAATCATGGTTATATCTAAGTTGATGGACCTGTTTATTGAAGGCTCTTTTGGTCCTTGGGTGTGCAGCCTTTATAAGCCTAGCCCAGGGGACAGGTAAGCAGAGTGTTTCCAGTTAGAGCAGCTGAGCCCATTTCTTTTTATCATGTGGCATGTTGAGATTACTTGGTCTGTACCCAGAAAACTGGGCAAACTGAATAAATAAATGTCAGAGCACTACCACGATTTGGGCTCAGTCATCAAGTCAGCTGCTGAGTGGGAGAGAGTGGGACTGATCTGAAGCGACACGACACGTGTTGATGCAGGACTTCCCAGAGGATGGATCTCAGACCTTTACTCTCTAGATGTGAGAATTGTTTCTGTATGTATTGGTTTGTGTAGTAAAGTTACACATCACCAGCTGATTGAAGTTACAAACTCTTTTTTTTTTTTACATGTTTAGTCACTTTAGCCATGTGCATTCTCTCTGGGATCCAAAGCATCTATAAACCAGTAATAAACTGGCTGTGTAGTCTCCAAATGCATCCAAACCTGATATGCCAAATAATTATACACTCAAGTTAATGTTGTATTCCAGCATTAGCAGCTGTCCAACCTGTGCTTTATCACTGCAAGCATTAACTCTGACAAGAAAATAGTTGTAGATTACTTCAAAAAACCAATCTGTTTAAAATTCAGTTAAAAGATCATCAATTAGGTGCATGTCTCACCAAATCTTTAAGTCAGGGTGATAACTGTAAAATCACAAATGCAAAAAGTAGAGGTAAAAATTACTCAAAGTGCTTTGACATATTTTTAATATTCAGCTAGATTAAATGTGAATTTTAAAAAGCCAACGCTCACTTGCAGCAGTGTTTAACTTTGCTCTTTCTTAGTAGCTGGTGGAGCATGCTGCTAAACCATTCAGTAAGCACACAGGCACTGAAAAAGAATGAGCCGATTAGCTTTCCATCTAAAATGCAGAGATCATAACATCATTATGAACTCTGAGGCCTTACCTTATCAATAATTTATCAAACTGATTCTGAGGTCACATCTTAAAGGCAGGAACTTGTTTTTCAGTGCCGGCAAGAATCGTCAACATCTCAAAAAACGTGTCGGTGAACGAGGGAGAGAACGTGAACCTTTTTTGTCTGGCAGTCGGCCGGCCTGAACCAACTGTCACTTGGAAGGACCAGAAATGTAAGCCACCCTTCCTTATTTGCCTGTCTTCAGAGATCTCCTGTTTGCTAGCATTTTATCTTCCCATCTGTACATCCGTCTCCTGACCTTGTTAAGCCTTTAAAGTCGTTTCTTTTGTCTCCCGCAGCCCGTATTGTTATCAGCATTCCGCTCGTGTCCCCATCCTTAGCCCTCATTCCTCTGTCATCCATTTAAACCCAGCTGTTTAGTCTGTACCCATCTTAAATTCATAGCCCCACATTTCCCCACGTCCCAATGTTTTGTCCCAAATAACCACACATTATAGGTAATTATCCCCAACGCGCCACCAGTAATCGTCACCATCTGTCTTCATCCACCTTGTCAACTGGCATCACAAAGCCAACAGCCACGTTTGGCATTACATCAGCTTTTTCTTTTTGCCTCGGCTAGTGTTAGAAATCAAGGTGGTTCTGGGCGGTCGGAAGGTATGACTTGATAGATTAAATTAAGATCTTCTTGACCTTATTGCCTTCACATTTATTCCATACATGCTCTCACCTATGTCATCAACGTTCTAAATGAGGCAAATAAATGTTCCATGGCCTCCAGAAATTGCTAAGGTGAAGGAGCTTTTTATTGAATAGTAATTGCCATTGCATGCTCATCAGTTTGGCACATGAAGACCATTTCCATCTTATGAATATTCCACTTTGATGTTACTACATATTTCTGAGTCTATTTTGGGTGTTGGGTGAGAAAGAGAAAGTTTTAGAATTATTAGGTTTTTCAAGTGCTAAAATTACTAGAATCCTATTTTGCCATTTTTTAATCAGCACTTTCTATTATTCTGATGTCAAAATGTTTTAATCATTTTGATAATTGAACTTATTTTTGACTCCTCATCAGAACTAACTGGACAGGAAGTAAACTTGAAATCAATTTTGAATAAACCCTCTGAGATATTGACCTGAAATTTGATTGTTAGCTCATCAAGCTAGCAATCCTTGAGAAACATATTACTTTGAGAGAATTGTGATGTCACACAACTCAGCAGAGTAACCCGCAAACTACCTGAAATAGCCTTAAACAGGAGGCGATTTTGAGCAGAAGGGATTTTGCTCGTGGCAAGCCTCACATCAGGCTGGTGGAGAATGAGCAGCCTCCCAGGAGTTTAAGCATTGCAGTAGGAGGTGAATAACTAAGTCTTTGCTGTGTCAGCACTTGTGGGGTGAGAGGAATAGAGTTTGGGAGATGGGCTGGGTCTAGACTAAATCTATCCAACTGTACTATAGGTGTTGTAAGCAGTCCAGCTTCTGACAAAGAGTAAAAAATGCCACCAAAAAGCGGCAACACATCTGAAAGGCAGCAGCAAATATCAATACCATAGATGTAATGTAAGGAAAGCAAATACACAGACTACTGTACAAAGAATGAAAAATGCAACGTTGACTGCAGAAACCAAATGTCAGGTGATAGTAAAGGAGGATGGAGCATCATGATCTGTACGCATTTGTAAAATCTGCTTTACCTTGCCCTTCTACACCAACTTCATCATCAGCAGAGTAATACTAATAAGCATAGAATAAGAAAAGGTTCCATGCACAGGGGCATGGTGTGAAGCTGATAAATCATTGATAAGACCGGTTTACCTGAAGATTTGATGTAGCAATGCCTAGGGGGTTTACTCTGAAGAAGAAGGGGGCGGGGGGGTTAACAGAGGATTTATGTGTCCTTCTGACCTTGTTTGTTTACTACATCTGGTTCCAGCATCCAGACGTGCATTGCCTGTGTTCTGATATGAACCAGTAATCAAAACATCATTTACAAAACGTCTACGAGGGGGTTTTGAAGTGCAGTTCACAACCATCCAGCAGGGGCATTTTGCAGTCATTGCACTGATTGACACAAACTTTCTCCCCGTGGAATGAAAGTCTTTTTTACTTGATATGGTCCAAAATGAGTGATCAAGCAAACCGTTAGATAATAAACCAATCACACGAGGGGAACATGGCATAATGAGCAAATGCTGCTTAAAAGCAGGCAATGCGTGGTTTTGAAAGGGAGCAGCGGCAGCTGCAGGGAGCATGAGGCTGAGAGCTTTGCAGCTTAAATAAACCGGCCCAGATTAGAGGAATGCATTTGATAAGCGAAATGAATATTGGGAGACTAGATCCCACGGGAGGCAGCAGCGTGGCTGGAGTCGCCGGCGTGAGCCAGCTCGCAGGCGTCGCTGCATTTATGCATGTGCTGCGTGTTGCACGCTGCTGGGTGATGTCAGCAGACGCTGAGGCTTCGATTGCTCACAGTCTGCTGATCGTTGCTGCTCGCTGCTTTCATTTTTCTCGTTGCCTTTTTCCATGTTTCCCTTCCCGAGTGGGATCAACCTTAACCCCTACAGCCACATGACCAGCGGTTGAGCTTTTTGGCATTTGTGTGTCGGAGCATTTTAAGATAGTTTAAGAGGCAGCATAAAATCTGACAGTTGAATTTTCAATGGTTGAAAGAGGAAGAATGACTCTGGGAATTGCGTTTTCTGAAAGTTTGTGTCACCACAGTGATGGTTAAAACTGCACACTGAGTAGCCGCAGTGATACAGATGAAAGGCAGCAGCGAATAACAATGCTAAATAGGTCAGATTCCGCAACTACTCGAGATGTGGTAGTTGTAATATTAGAACAGCAAACGCACAGCATACTGTACAGTTGTCCTCACAGGCAGCTTTGGGTATTCTTCGAGGTCTGTCCCCCCCCTCCCCTTTTGTGTTTGTCCTCAGGTTTGCCTACACATAATGTCCTCTGCACAGTTAGTGTTTTTGAACCAACTCAGTACATCATAGTACCTCGGGCACTGATCACACACACACCCCCACACACAGCAAAAATGAAGAGGAAAAAGAGAAGAAAAAAAAAACGTGCGAACACACACCTGCAACAAACACACACAGAGGCACAACTTTACATCACGAGCTCCGTGCGGTTGTCCTCACTTGAAAGCCCACAGCATTTCTCCTCTGTCAGCAGTAATCCTCCCTCTCTAACCGCCCCACCATCACTGCTCCCCCCCCCCCCCCCCCCCCCCCCCCCCCCCCCCTGCCCCCCTCTCCTACCCCCTTATAACCCCTCAGCTTGCAGAGTATGAGATAGGGCCAACATTGCTATTCCGTGGGTGTCTCTGCAACCAAGCCATCAGTTGCAGGAGACCAGGGGCATTGGAGATAGGGGAGGGGTTGTCATGGCCAAAGAAACAGCAAGAAGCTGCCAGCCATCTGTCCCCATTACTCAGAGACTGCAGAGAGAAAATGCAGGGAGAGGCAGAGAGGGGAGGTTAAGTTGAGTGGAAAATGCATGTTTGTTGGTTGTGGAGGTTGTGGATTAGTAGAAAGCCCAGTTCTGCATCGGTGGTGGGACCTGGGAAAAGTCTCGAACTCCTATCTCTGACCCTTTTCCCCACGTTTGCATGAGATTTTACTTGCATGTAAAAGTTGCACAAGTGTTGTAGCCACGGCCTCCTCCATCGTCCTCGCTAAAGTGGCTGTATCATATGTTTCACCCACTCACACTCTGGTATTCATCAGTTAACCTACAGAGGAACAAACAGTGATTTTGTCTCATTCAGGATTTGACACGTGCTTCTATGAGGTTATCCCTGACAGAAAATTCAACTAACCAATATCTCACACCATTAGCTTGTTGGGGTCTAACTTGCTTGCCATCCTTGAAAAAAAAAATCTAAATTATGCAAATTCTCCGACTCTTCAAACTTGCACACTTTGAAAATTATATGAATGAAATAAATAAATAAATGATGCCAAAAAGGCAGGAAGAGGTTATAGATGGAATTCTTGGAGCTTCTTCAGCTAGTGATGTAATTTAGAATCAGAAGTCACAGTGGTGGTCAAGAAGAAGTCTGGCAAAGTCAAACTCTCTGAGAGATCCGTGTAAAATGTCCAAAAAGTCAATTTTTTTTTACCATTTACCACACCGGCCATTTCATAAAACTCTATATTAGTACAAATCTGAATTTCACAGTTGACAGTCCAAAATAAACCTTTCCTGCACACCCACTCCAACATTTTGGACATTTTGACAGATCCTGTGGACTGATTGAGTTAGAATGCAATATATTACCCCAACTGTAAAATGTCATGCACAGCCCCTCTATTCGTGGAGGAAAGGGATTGATAGGTCTTGCTGTGTAATTGTCAAATATTAATAACAATTTGATAGACAGGCATGCAAAGACCAGTGCTGCTAAGAGGGGCCAAGCAGCTCTCTAAAACTGTCTTTTGCAGGTAAAGTGGGCGTAAACCCCTGAAGCATGAACTGAAAGACTTAAATGCTGACAAGAAAAACTTACAAGCTGTGATGGCCAAAGGGATTCAGTATTGATCGTGCATTATACCCAGACTTTTTGTTTTAACTGTATCAGAAGGATTTGAAAAAGAAACTCTTCAATATTATCTTAAACTTCAAGTTACAGGTGACGCTTTTGGAAATCAGATTCCCTCATTTTCCTCAACATATTCACAGACCTAAGCAATGTCACTTTGGACTGAAATGTTAAAAACGACCAGAACAGTGCTTCACAACTTATCGCTCTAGCCCCGTATTAGGAAAATATATTTGCACTATTGTGGTTTTGGATAAATCACATTTACATTTACAGTTCTGACTAGCGTTGTGTATATTTCTACACAAACTTCTGTTTTCCTTTTTCTCAGGAATGGCTGCTCGTCTTATGCATGTTTGTTTTCCTTTAGATTTAAAATGCCTTCAGGCTTCCCCTGGTAACACTGCATGTCATGTCACAGCACTGCGAACTGTGGATAATTCCCTCAGGCAAGTGTATCGGAACACAGTCATACTGAAAGTTTGCATTAAGAGTCGACTTGATGTTGTGACAGTGGGACAGCCCTAAGCTCCCACTTAGGAGACTTCAACATGCTCATAAGGCTAAGACTGTGACTGATGGGGAAGATTGGGCATGGGCTTGCAAATGATAAACAAAGTTGTTCAGTGATGGGCAGATATAGGGAGAAATAGAGGTGTTTGCTCAATACCTGCAATTGAAGAACAGAAATATAAAAAAATGCTGGGATTTTGTAAAAGAACGGAACGTGCCATTGTGCAACAAATGTGAGCCAAACAATGAGTACTGGCAATTTCATTCTGCATTTTATCTCTAAATGTAAGTGAGCATTTACATCAGCAGGACTGTGAATTGTGTGCTGGATTAACTCAAAATAACCCACAGTGGCTTAAGATAATAAAGGAACTTGTCACCCAGCATGGTGTTGGACCATAATGGATCTCAGTGGGAGCAGAAACCAGCCTCCCCACGTCCAAGACAATGGGCCTGCTGGCCATTTCCTCATTATAGGTTTTGATCTTTTCTTGGCTTTTCTGTCGTGATGGAATACATCTTAAACAACTCGATACCCATTCAATTAACTAAAGGTAAATTGGAGAAGAAAAATCTTACACTGGAGAAATCATATGCACAAGTAACTGCAAATTTCAGCTGCTGACTCTTACCCTCAACACAGAGCAACTGGCCATTTTGCCCTGATTCAACCCACCAGCAGATCTCTCTGCCAGGACTGCTGTTCTTGTAATGGAAAATGGATAAGAGGTGATCAGAAATCAAGTGCTCTGAGGATCACAGGGAAAAAAGAGCCCAGTTTCACTGTTGGGAAGGCCTGTACTCCTGATCCTTTACCCCACTTTTCATTCACACTTCTCATTCTCCTCTAAGGTGCAATCCAACTATCTCTGGTGGCCAGGCTCCTTCAAAAGCCATAAGTGGTTGATGGAGCTATATTTTACCAGCCATTGTAGGAGTGCCAGAGGCCCGCCCAGCTAAGATATGATCTCCAACCAAAGTGGAGAGAGGTGTGAAATGCAGGTCTGCAAAGCTCTGGGGATGGAGACTGAGAGGGCTGTCATAATACAACATAAATTCTCCTGGAGCTGGCAATGAAAAGTCAGTGAAGGAACAAGCTATTTCAAATAAGCAGCTCGACACCTCCCACTGCTTTCCTTTTTTTATATTGTTATTTTTTCCCTTTATCTTATTTCAAACATCTCTTTCAGTCACTTGAAATAGTCTCTTTGGAAAATCATCACCCTCTGTGTCTGAAAAGTCTGCAGTAGCGTTTGTTGAATGTGCTCTTGTTAAATTTCCCATTTTCCTTTTTATTTCTTGGAAATCATCGGTTGGTTTTTGCATCACAACAGCTCCTCTCCTGTGGCAAAGATCGGATTCTCTACTCGCTTGACGGAGATGTCACACGAGAGCTGTATTTATCGAACTAACGGAATGAGCAAATACGAGGCTCACACCACACAATATGGGCTAGCCCCTGCCGGCACTTTTTCTCGGGTGGCGCGTGCAGCCACCGCCGCAGCAGCTGCAAATAATCGTATCCAGTTCAGTAGCCGCACTAATAATCCTCCAGTATAATCTTCAATTAGAAGCGCGGCGCTAATCTGTTTCAGAAATAATCGTGGCATTTAGTGTCTTTATGTGTGTGTTTGCGTTACAGTTGTTCTCAAACGTGCAGAGGGAGCTGTTTGTACGCAGAATTAAAGGTCTACTGATTGACAGAGGTTCGGCTGTGTGTGTGTGTGTTTTTTTTAAGCCCTTTCAAAGGAGGCCGGGGTACTTTAAATGGGAAAAGTGATCAGCAGTTTAAGAGCTGGATTTCCTTGTTAGTGGTGAGATTATATATTATGCGGTGTTCCACAGTCTGACTTCTTTAATGGGTTAAAAAAAAAAGGGCTAATGGTTTTGGAGGCTGAGACAGCTGGCGGCTAAGGCTGGCTGAGAGGAGGGGGGGCTCTCCCATTCTCATTCTTTTTCTTTTTCTGCCACTGTCGAGCCAATAACACCCCGAGCATCCAGTCTCTCACATGAAGGAGCAATAACTTGTAGCATGTCCCCTCTACTCTGAGGAGATTTTGGTGGCAGTTTGTTGCCCAAGGAAAAAAGAGGGAAAGTGTGAGACTGACTAATTTAGTTTTTTCTTCATCGGGGAGTTCGTCAAAATCAAATAACAACCATATATTCCTCTCACCGTGTAATGTAGTGAATTAGTCGTCACCCCTTGCTGCATCCAGCGCTTTCAAGTAAAGCGCACAATTTCCCCAGATACTGTGAAAGCAAAGGTGTCACTTACACCAATCAATAAAACTACTGGCATGTAAAGTGAGCAGCGCTGCTCATCATGTGACAGGGGACTCTTCTGCAGCAGCGCCTCTCTAAAATGTTTGCCTAGCTGTTGCTTGCTAATGGGAGGGTTGGTAGTTCGATTCCCAGGCTGCAGGTGGAGGTGTGGTTGCGCAAGACGTTGAAACTTTCCTTTCCTTTCCTGCAACGTAGCAGCCTCAAATGGGGCACTGTGCTCTGTGTGCCGGCCTCGAGTCCAGGAAGAATGTCACACAAGCGTTCTAGCAATATTTGATAATAATTAATAATGAATCAAACAAAAATGATACACTGATTTTATAAAGATTTCTCAGTAATTGATCATCATCATTTCTCCCAACTTTTTGCATGTTGTTACATGTTTGATGTTGTTCTTACAGGTTTGATTATCATGTTATTGATTTTCACATCAATCAGCTCAATATTCCAAAGTAGATTTGAACACTGTTTTATTTGCTGTTATCTGCATATTGGCCTTCTCCATGCTCTTAAATCCCGTCGGCCATAAGTGCATTTGTCAGACGCTCGCTGCCGTATCCAAAGTGGTGAACCATAAATCTGACGAGAGAGTCACCTTGCATTTGATTTAAAGTGACCTTTGGCCTCACCCGTTTTCAATTAGATGGCATGGTGAGTGAGGGGGAGTTCTTAGACATCACGGAAATCAAACGGCAGCAGGCAGAGGACTATGAATGCATCACCCACAACGGCGTGGCTCCGCCTGACCAGCGGAAGGTCAAAGTCACCGTCAACTGTAAGTACCCCTCCATATGCAGAACACAGTGGCCCTGTGGTGAGAATTCACCTCACCCTAATATGCAAAATGATGTATTAATAATATATGTAAATTTTGTACATGCATTATGTGTATATTTTAATTTGATTCTCTGCAGGCATTTTCTAACCTTTGCACAATCCTGGTTAGACATGACCTCAGTTTTTTTTGTGAAATCCAGTGTGTCCTTATTATTTCTTATCTACGTATCCTTTATTTCCTCGTTTTCTCGGCCAGACCCTCCCATGATCACAGACATGAAAAACTTGCCAGCCCATTTGGGGAAGACAGCCATCTTACGCTGTGAAGCAATGGCGGTCCCACCTGCCTCCTTTGAATGGTACAGAGATGACCACAGGTGAGACCACAAACAGATTGTCATCATTTTAAAATACTAAAATGTATCAAAACCTCTTTATCTTTTTAACATATGCACAATAAAACTGCTTAAATAAACATGATACATATTTTCAACTTGAATGGCTGTAATTAAAAACGCACATTACTCAGCAACTATAATAAGATTACATTAATAAAAAAGTGGTACAATGTTTTTGGGGGACTATGTACATATGTAAATACATTTTCTTATACAAGTTGAGTCCCAGTGTTATGTTGCATTAACTTTCTTGTGTGTCATACTTTCTCCTTTTCTCCTATTCTTGTCTTTTCATCTTTCCTTTTCTTCTGCACCGACACTGCTGCCACCAAGGCCGGTTGAGAATGACAACACCTTAAGGATCAAAAATGAGAAAACACGCTCGCTGTTGCTGTTCACCAATGTGACAGAGAAACATTTCGGCAACTATACTTGCTTTGCCTCAAACCGTCTGGGTGCTTCCAACGCCAGCATGCTGCTGTTTCGTAAGTTGTCACACTGAACTGCCTTCACTGCGCGCAAGATTTCACAAACACATCTGCATTTATATTATGGGAAAATCAAGAGTTGGACCAGACGGGACATTCCACTTCAAAACGATATGCATTGTCACTGTTTTCTCCTGCTTGCCTGGTCTGTTTTTGCACTGCGTACTGCAAAGCATTCGCTCAGCCTTCCCTTTATTTCCTCTTTCCATTTTCCTCATTCTCCGCACCATTAAAGCTTTGCCTGCCTATATAACGGCCTCTTTCTCTTTTGAACGTTCCCCCCTCGCCCTCCATCTCTCCTCCGCATTCCTGTGCCGATCTGCAGTGTCCCGTTACCCAAGAACTTGTCATTTCTCTCGGAGCCCCGTTTACATTAACCATCCCAAATGAGCGATTTCCTAGCCGTCTATTTCCCTTCACCCTAACTCCTCCCTACTCCCTTTAGAGCGTTTGGCATTACCATCTTAAGTGAGTCCTTCATCCATCCTCCTTTCTTCCTTCATCCCCTTCCCCATTATCTTGCCCAGTCTCCCTTCAATGACTCACTCCTCCGTCAGACCCATACATCTTCCTGCTCCCTTTTTCCACCACCGCTGCCACTTCTGTCAACCTATCTCTCCATCATCTGTCCTTCTGCCTCCTGCTCCCCTCCTAATCTCCTCCTGCCATCATTACAACACAACAAACCTCTTTTTTGTCCTGGACTGGGAACAGAAAAATCTGACCATAATCACATTGTTCAGTGGTATTTCTATTCATATGCAGTTCTTCTCTGTCACTGTTTTTCCGCAGTTTGTTTTTCTCCCTTTTTAGTACTTTCACCATTTTAAAGGTGCAACATTTAACAACTTAACAACAGCGTTCCACTATCGCATCAAAATTGACATATCATTGTGATATAAAATAAAAATCTAAATTCATTGCGGAGGCCACTGGCAGCCTGTTCTGGCTTGTACTTTACTTGTATCGGTACCCGGTGTCAGGTTAGATGGTGGAAAATCATGTAACTGCATAACAGAACAGCACAGGAAGAGAGAAGGTTAATTAAGGGTTCTCACTGTTGTCCTTTCAAGCATCAACCCACTGCCCTGACTCAAATACCCCATTGTTTATTTTATAAAGAGGTGTAATTGCGATTATTTTTTCTTTCTGAACAACTACACATTTTATTAAATATTGTTGTGTTAGCCAGGTCAAGGTTTGACTACATTCCAAGGGCTTCGAGTCTTTTTCCACTTCCTTTGGGCAGGTGGTGGTTTGCATTCTGTACTTATCACTCGTCTCTTACAGGGCCAACATACGGAAATAAAAGGTTATACACTGGAGAGGACTTTTTGTTTTATTTATTTATCTATGTCTATTCTCAAACCATCAGAGATTTATTTAAAAAATACATTTGGATGATCGTGTTTATCTTAGGAGCCTCCAGGGAACGCCAGTGTTTCTGAAGGCAATCAAACTCTGCATCCAAAAATCCCCAAATACCGGGACAGGAGTCTAATGATTGGTAAACCCTGTGAGAAAAAAACAGTTTGCTCACGATAGAACACACAAAACTTTAAATGTAAGAATGAATGAAATGTAAGAAGAACATTTGGTTATATCAGAAAAAATCTTGGCTCAATCCAACAAAATTGGGCCAAAAAAGGAAAAAAAAAACTACAAAAACAGATGGAGGAACAGGTTGTAACTCCATAGGTAGATAGGCAACAGGTAACGTGATTAGGTATGGAAAAAGAGCAGTTTAGAGAGGCCTTAAAAACTGTGTCGGAATCGTGGAGCAAACTGAGAATGATGTCCCTCAATGTGAAATCGCAAAAAATAAAGAAATAAAAAGACAAAAATGGTGTAAGCTGGTGACACCTCTGTGCATGTGTTGTACAGCCAGAAAACGATTGTGACGTGAGGCCCTCAGGCGACACTGACCAACCTGCAGTCTAGTCCTTCCACATGCCACCAATAGCTGATGCATCATGAAACACAAAATACAGCTAGAAGAGGATATGAGGCAAGAATAGGGCTGCATTCATCCATTAAAGCTCCAGCAACTGCTGTCCTTAATTTCCAGATGTTTACACAACATTATTAACAGTTTGTGTTTAGACATCCAGCCCTAAAACCTGTACCAGCTGCTAATTTGGTTGCATATTTCTTGCATAGGATGAACAAAAGAGTCTTTTAATGTAAACTCAAACCAAAATCGTAACAATTGAAGCCTGCGCACAGCTGGATTTACTATCAGGACAAAAATTTCAGACACACATCAGTGAATTTAATGGACAAAGTTAACTTTAAGCCCTTGTAATGTACCTCCCCCAGTTCTGACCTCGAACCCATTAAAGATGCAGCATGTGGTTAGCTTACAGTCCTAAATAGGTCAACACATCATAAAAGAAAAGAAATAAGTCTTGCACAGCTATCCAAAGGGTTTGGTCAAAGTGCAGCTTGAATGTTGTGTGTGCCATGTGCACACTCTGACCCTGCTTGCATAAAAATGACCCTGCTATGATTTTAGAGAAACACTAAACTGATTTTAAAAATATGTGCTCTGGAATTTTTTTAAGAGATTCTCTCTAACTCTACATGAAAACATTTTTGGCCAATTTGTAACTCTGCCGTCAGAAGTCAAATAAAAAAGCTTCATGGGTCCAAACAAGCACGTCCCAGGTGTGTTAATGGTGGTTTTAGTGCCCTGAAAGAAACATTTTGATGGTAAATAGATTACTTGCATAGAATGCAATTGTATTATTTGAAGTTCTGCTCCATACTTGAAAGTATTATCAGTTTTCTCACTTTGCAGCCTCTTGCGGCATTTCTTTTGTGCTGAACTCCATTCCCTCGGCTCTGAACCCCCCCTGCCACAAACAAACACATCTATGTATCATAGTTTTCATTCAGACCTTCATTCCACTAGTAAACCAATTTTTCAGGACAAAGTATACATTAAAAATACCATCTCACAGTGGTTTGCTTTCATATTTTCAGTGGTTTAATCAACGTACTATGTGCTTTGCATTCTCCATGACAAACCAATGCAATTCTTTTTTCTTTTCACTATTGACAAAACATGTATTTGATTGGTCAAAAAGTCTGTCCCTAATATGTTGACAAAAGAGATTAAGCGCGCTCAGGTCACAAATTAATATAATTAGTATATCTTTCTCACCAGATATGTCAAAACACAAATCCAGATAAATAAAAAACTTGACAGCTCAATTTCATTGTTAATTAGTAGTTTTAAACGATGAGAATCAGGTTTCACCTCATTTCACCTCATCTTTACTTGCATAAGCACACAGCTTGGATGTCTATAGCCTGCTGAATATTAGCATTGGTCTATGTAAGTGGTATATGTCAAGGCCTAGCATGTCCTACCTCTTTGTAAGCCTAAATTAATGGCTCATGTGATCAGATACTCAGATAAGGACACCATCAAAATGAAAACAGATTTATACCAATTCATTTAGAGAAAAGAATGTAAATCTGCAACCGACTTGGTCATGATTTGGGCAATCTATCGTTTCAAATATTCACACCATTATATTTGTTGAGACGAATATGTTTGATGGAAGGCAGTACCGTTTGGTAATAGATAAGTAATAATTTGCTAATAATAATGTCCCCAACCGAATGCATAAATTCAGTTTGTTCTCTTTTGTGTCACGAATGAAGGTGAAATATCCTGTTTTAAAAAATGTGTGCTATTACACATATTTTCAGATGAGGCTTTGAACACTGCCATGTTTATTTGACAAAACATTTAGTCCAACACCTTTTTAAAAAAATCTAAATTCACCATGTTTTTAGAAAGAGAATATTCTATTGATCATACTAAATATTTATATATATATTTATATGTATATCAATAGGAAGCAAACATTTACTAATGATGTGGACTGTAAAACGCCATTTTATGCTGTATATTGAAAAACAATAATGCATCAACATCAAAAGCAAAAAAAAGAATGTGGTAATGCATATTGTGCCAGTTAAGGAAGCAAAGACAGACGTATCAGAATTAAAAATGAGTGTGAGTTTGTTCTTTGGATCACCTTGAAAATGTATCTATGCCATTACAAACATGAAGTTTTTACTTGTTTCATTTCTTGAAGCTTTCTGAGTGAGTCTAACAGTGGCCTCCCTCCTTGTTCTCTCTTTGTACTGCCTCTGTCTCTTCCCAGGACCAGGGGCCCTACAGGGCCGAGGGAGCGGTTTACACGCCGAGATGAGTGTCAGCGTGTGTGCGTGGGTTTCCCTCTCTGCTGTTCTTCTACTGAAGGTGTAATGATCCCACTCTGTTTGGAATCATCCTTAAACGTCCCTGAAATGCCCACTCGTTCCTCTAATCCCCCTCCCACACTACGGAAGGAAAAAAGGAAAGGAAATTCTTTAATTACGAACCCATCACTGTGAACTAAAAGAATATGCATTATTCCAGGAGCCATTGAATCTTCGCATTGAACACGCGACCACTCCATACCCCCACTTTCTGAAATGTGTGTACCCTCAATTCAATTTTGAGGTCAACTCACTGTTTTCTGTCTTTTCTCTTCTCTTTCTCTCTTACACAAAAATTGTATCTCTTTTTTCTCCCAGAATGCCTTGCAGCTTTGTCTGACTGGGTCCTTCTGTTCCTCACCTTGTTTTCCACATCATTATTGCTGGGCTGATGTTAATAGAGAGTGTATATTAACAATGACTGTGTTAGTGATCAATGAGATAATAGATAATCTAACAACTGGATGGTCATTTATGTAAGATACCACACAGACGATTGACTGACCCACAATGTTTGCCTTATGGAAATTATACATAAAATCACATTATTTTGGTGGTTATTTATGGATATGATAGTTATGATAGGGTTCTTGTGGTCCTTTGACTTTTTGGGAAATTGTCCAATCGGTGACCCTGTCAAGTGTCACCCTTTGATCAGACGCACATACACATACACACCCACACACCACAACTGACACACATGTATGGCTTTTTGATTTTAACTGTGTAGCAGTGAATCTGCTATGAATGATGTCAAAATGTATTTTTAAAAA